AGTCCTTCTCCTCAGGGCTGCTCTCAATCCCTTCATCCCCCAGCCTGTATTGATACTGGGGATTGCCCCAAACCCGGTGAAGGACCTTGCACTTGGCCTCATTGAACCTCATGAGGTTCACATGGGCCCACTTCTTGAGCTTGTCCAGGTCCCTCTGGATGGCATCCCGTCCCTCAGGCGTGTCAACCGCACCACTCAGCTTGGTGTCATCTGCAAACTTGCTGAGGGTGCAGATTAGATGAGATGAGATTAGATTTTAGGATGTCTGAATAGTTGTATCCTACAGTTGATCCATTTAGCCCTGATTAGCCTCTACAGTATTAACCTAAACCCTTTTTAAAACAGTATTTTGGGCTCTCTGAATACAGTTTTATCAGTACAGATCTCATGAATATGCAAGCAGTTAATGTAAGCAATATATTTTCTTTTGGGAGTGTAATTTGATGCAGATCTATTTAGAAGGTAACAGTATGCACTCCATGAACGTATGTGGGTAAGGTCTGTGAGAGAGATCGAAGGGAAGACAGGCTGAGGCAGCAGGGTGACGGCTGGTCATTGCCTGGACGATGCTGAATTTGCTTTTGGCTGTTGCTCAAAACAGTATAGCGAAGTGAGGCCTGACTCTAATAAACTGACCGTGTACAGAAATCTGTTAATGTGATTACAGCCACTGGAAACCCAACATTTTTTGGCTCTGTTCATGTGTTTGTGAATTGCTATCATGTGTTTAATTATAGCTTGTAATATGTAGAGTATCTTAGGTCTCTGGGCCGCAATGGAAATTCAATAGTTTGGCTTAGAAATTCATTCATAAATAAGCCTTTCTCTAGTTCGAGTGCGTTTAAAACCCTTTAGCGTCTTTTCTCACTTGAGTTGGGTTAGGAGCTACGAGATGTAGGCAAACCTTTTTTTTTTTGTTTTCTTTGTGTCATTGGCAGTACCTTTTGATACCTTTACAGCTTGCGTTTGTGAGGATTGAAAGGGGTTTTTAGGCTTTTGTAGCTCAAAGCCTGTATTTTTTATTTTATTTTTTTAGAAAGTCATGGAAATTGTATACATTCCTTATTTCTTCACTGTAGGTCAATAATGAATTCTGATGCTTGCTTTGTTTGTGGTTTGCTTGTTTCTGTGAGTATGGAAAGTGAAATTAGGCCAGCATGTGTGCGTACTTGATTCCATTATGTGTTAAGAGAGTTACTTTTCCTCATTAGATTTTTACTAAAACATGACTGTATATAATACATGTGGAAGTTAGCATTATTTGGGGAGGGTGGAAGAATAATGGGGCCTACTCTGTCTCAGGGTTTTTGTTGAACTGGATTCAGAAGCAGTGGTGTTCCCGTGTTTTTCCCAGTATTACGGCGTATCCCTAAATGGCACGAGGTTTTCTTGGTTTGGTTTTGCTGGGGTTTCTCCTGTGAGACACCTGGCCTGATTACTGGGATGATGGGCAGCCTCAGACTCGCACTTCTACCTGCCCCAACTCTGATTTCCTAGCCCAAAAAATGTTCTGGACGAAATAGCCACTTTTAATTCACTTACAATTTTACCAGGCTTGAATGAGCAGCCTCTGGGATACCACTTGAATGACAAACATATTGTTGAAATACACACCTCACTGTGAATATTCTTCATACGGAATCAGAAAGGAGAATTTTGGATTTACTCACTTCTGGCGTGGAGCAGATGTAATTTATCATGCTCTCTGCATAGACTAAATTATTTACATCATTTGTTTTAAGCCATTTTATTTGTTTTTGGTTTTTGATTTTTGGTTTTGTTTTTGTTGTTTTTTTTTTCCTAGGTATGAGAACTTCCAGAGACGTCTGACACAGAACCCTCTCTTCTGGAAAACATAAGCTTAAATTGTGTCATTCGAAGTGCTTCTAACCAGTGTTACCTGAAAGGTGCAGCAAGTAACTCCACTGAAGAATTTGGGGGAGGAAAAAAAAAAAAACACAAAAACGATTAGTCTGAATAGACAAACTTGTAACTTTTGTATTACTCTTGAAAAATTATTTAAAATTAAAATCTGTGAAAACTACTTGCCTATGCATTTTTTTTAATTGAAGCACTTGGCTGCAACAAGAACTCAGTGTTGCATGTGTGGAAATATTCTTTTGAAACTGCATTGAAAGTGGAAGAAATTACCAGATGAAAAATGGCAGCACTGTTTCATACTTGTGTGATGCTTTGGGGTGTTTAGTTGTAAACAAAATACATGTCGTTTTTCCTTCTTTTCCTCATTCTGAAGCGTGAAGCGGGAACTGAGAATATGCTGGTGGTTTCCCTGCTGGTACTTATACACTGTCAGCTCTTTCACTTTGAGGACAACTGTGTTCCCCTGCAGGATTTCACGCTGAATCCTACATTCTACAGAACTATACATGATAGAGGATGGGATCCATACAGGTCGTGTGTGTGAAATTCCCATGCCTTTTGTGAGAATGAAGTGAAGAAATTGTATATCTAAAATGCCCTCTTGGGGAGTATGGGAGAAGTTCTTGGCAAACAGGAGGCCTGTTTGTAGGATGCGTCCCGAGCCTAACGCTGCACGGCAGCTCCGTTCCTGACCCCGGTGATGGAGCTCCCTCTTTACAGATGCTGTGATGTCAGGCAGGGAGGCTACGTACCCCAGTGAAGGGGAGCGTAAGATTAAAATTCAAAATGCTCTCAGCATATTGGAGAGCAAAAGGTCTCCAGGTATGCTTGGGGTAAGGGATTGCTTCTATTGCTTCAATTGCTTCTATTGGATCTTTCTGTAACGGGTATGAGTTTTACTCTCTTTTTATATTGTGTTCGTCAGGTCCATGTGCTTGTGAAATACTTAAGGCTGCTGTACCTGGATAACTGTTAAGCCGGTACGGGACAGAAATGCGCAGGGCTGGGAGATCATTTGGATCATTGCCTGTAGTAGGAGGGCTCTTCCTTTCTGCCGGTGGAGCTAAGCAGTGCTGATAGGAAGGCTGAAGACAAAGAAAGGTGGGCGAGAAATAAAACCCTTTGCCCCCTCCAAAGAAGAGACTGATCCTCTGGGCTGCTGTATTTCTGTGCTCTCCCAGGAGATGGAGAAGCTCGCTGTGGAGGGGCATTTAGGAACAGTCCTGGCAGCTGCTGCCCGGTGGAAGAAGAAAGCGATAGCAGATTGGGCAGAATACGAGGCTCAGAGGGCAAAGAGTGCACACGGGACCCAGGTACTGCAAACATTGGAAAACATTCTGAAAAAATAGCCTTTTTTCTCCCCCCAGGGGGAAGCCGAGTTTTGAAGCTATCGAAGCCACCGTGTAAGTCGTGGTTTAGTGCTTAGGAGGTGACTTCTGTCTGTCAGGCGTGGCAGCTCGTGATCAGGAGGGAAAAGCTCTCAATCCAAGCGGGAGGCCAGGGAGAGCAGCTCGCTGTGCTAACATGCACCGACGTTCTCTTCCGACTCGGTCCTCCTTGGCCCGAGGGGTTGGCTCTTGACGAGGAGTGCGATTTCTGCTAGTGAGGTGGCTTCTGCCAGTTGTGTCCAGACATCTTGTAGGGGGACCACTCCAGTTGGCCTTCCTGCTCGCTAGAGCTAGATTAGCTTGATCAGAAATACTATTTTGAAGAATATACCCTGGTTTTGTAAATTACTTTCCATAACTAAGAATTAGGACTCACTCCCAAGACAACTGGCATGAAAACAAAAATTTTTATCAGCTTCAGGAGCCAAGGAACAAAGCCTTTACGGATTCCTTTATCAAGTAAAGTCAGCCTTAGGAACACATCCCTTTGGTGCCTTTGAGACTGCTCAATGACATTTTCTGCGGTCACACCTCAGCCTAAAATGGACTCTCTCTCTCCTTGCGTAATAGCTGAGGACCCCACCAGGGAGACCCACAAGAAAAGGCACGAGCTCAACCACAAGAGGAGAAAAACAGGAGAAGACAGATGAGACCCAGGAAAGCTGTGCAAGAACTGCTTCTGAGAAGTAAAATTAATTACATGCCAGGTAACTTATGGTCCGAGTTGTTTCCCAGAAGCCATGTAACAGGCCCAAACCCTCAGATACTTGGTCTCCTGCTCAACCAAGGAATTAATTTCCTTAAAGACACATTTGTAGGCTGTTTGTGGAGAAGCAACACTGAGGGCAGTTAGCAGAGGCCCAGGCTGAACTCCCTCGTCGGCAGGGGTCACGAGGATCATTCTATGTCACCTGTCAAATCCTGCTGTAGGATATGGTAGCTTTGTTACGCAGATGGCAGATGCCTCACATAGCTGCCGATGTCAGAAGTGGTATCAGAAGAAGACAGAGGGACCAAATGGAAGCCAGAGTAAAAGCATTGTTAAGGTGTGGCACAGCACTGAAGGCTGCTGGCGGTTATGGCTCAGGTTCTCACGCTTCTAAGGAAGCGTCTGCCTGGTGTGGAAGTAAAATAATTAACACTTCATAGGCCTTTGCGAGGCCTCGGCAGTTAAGAAATACGTGTCAGCATGACCTAACGTGTCAGCATGACCTAACAGCCTCCCTGGGTCAGCACGATTTAATTAACAAAGGAGTGAATTATTTGTAAAAAAAGAGGTGCTGTCTAGAGCTTCCTTGTCTCACTGTCTGGAGCAGCCCTGTATGAAGTAATCCACACGTTACTGCTTTTTGTTGCAATTTTCTGTAGTCCTGCTTCTCTGACTTGGTTGGTGAAGAATGAGCCGTATAACCTAAAGGTATATCAACGCTGTAAGGAGCCCCGTTGGGCAGAGTTCGTACCAGCAGAGGCTGTCACTGCTGCTCTGTCATCTCTCCTGTAGCTGTAGTACAAACTGCTTCTGTTCTGACCTGGTCAAAACTGCGTTCTGGTTATTCCATGATGCTGGTGGGATTGTTGTTGGTTGGGCTTCAGGAAGCCAGACCAGACCGTGTGGGTGGGATGGCCAAGTCTCTCCAGCACGAGCTTTGTGACTGCTCTTGCCCTGGCTCCAGTCTTCAAGGCTGTAAATGAATATACGTCATCACATGCATTTGGAATAATTCAGCAGTGCGCGTTAAGAACTTCTCCCAGTGCCGTAGCCGCTGTGGGTTCGGCAGGCGTTGTCTCTGAGCTTAGTGAATGTGGTAGATGCTTGAAACCATCACTGTAAATTACTTTCCTCTTCTTTCCAACCTGCTGTGACTGAGCTCACAGAACAAAAACTTGCAGAAGGAAGGCTCCATCCCTCTTCAAATTGTATCATCAGAGAGGTGTCTTTCAAAACCACGACGACGGTAAGAATTCATTTATTTCTGTGGGTTATTTGAACTGCCAAGCTGTGCTTCTCAAGCATAAGTGGTTTTTCTTTTTTCCTTTCTGCCTCACTGAACTTCTGTTCCACATGGTTTTGTCCTGAGAGATACCAAAACAGTCATAGAACCACAGAATGCTCTGGGATGGAAGGGACCTTTAAAGGCCATCCAGTCCATCCCCCCTGCAATGGGCAGGGACATCTACAACCAGATCAGGTTGCTCAGAGCCCCATCCAGCCTTGAATGTTTCCAGGGATGGGGCATCTACAACCTCTCTGGGCAACCTGTGCCAGTGTTTCACCACCCTCATTGTAAAAAATGTCTTCCTTATATCTAGTCTGAATCTCCCCTCTTTGTTTAAAACCATTACCCCTTGTCCCATCACTATTGGCCCTGCTAAAAAGTCTGTCCCCATCTTTCTTGTGAGCCCCCTTTAAGTACTGGACGGCCGCAATAAAGTCTCCCAATACAGTCCGTACTATTTCTTTGTGATGAGAAGGAAAACAAAAGCCTGATCACTATTGTTCAAAGTAGAAGCCTAAAACTGAGCTATTCAATCCACCTTTTACACCATCTGGACTTCAGAAGTGAGGTTTGCAAATTTGTGGTTAGCTCTTACATTTGTCTGTTTTGTCCCAAGAGTCAGGAACTCTTGTGGGTGGCTCTGAAACAAAGTGGGAGTCCAGTCCCACTGCAGGAGAAAAGCCGTCAGCACAGTAACATACCACAACTTTCAGCACTGACACTGCTCTTCGAAGAACTCAGAGCTCCCATCAACCGGGTTACTGGGCTGCGGGTGACCCACATGCCCAGTCTAAACTGGGTTTCTGAGGAGAAGGTGTTTGTCCGCTCATCTGCAGAGTTCATGCCAAACTTAGGACATCCACATGTACGTGCTTTCAGAAGTAAGGAGAATGAACAGGAGAACAGAAACTATTCCAAAAGATTGATTTTTTTTTTTTTTTTTTTTTTTGGTGAAGGATAACAAAGATGTATTGGCCTGCTTGCTAGAACAGAGAAGTATTTCCTTGTTGAGGAACGGAATAAACCACTTAAATATAAATAACAAATGCTGATGTTTCAGGATGAATAGTGGTTTAGTGTCTTTTCTCTGCATGTTTCCGATGAAAGGCAGTTCCCAGGGAAGGGATTAGACTTTGTACTATGTCTTCATCATCGAACAGCCAAACGCTTGTTCAGCATACCTGTCTGTGTAGATCTGTATCTCCTAACACGACTTTTTCCCCTCAACACAGTGGTTTAAAATGAGAGAACAGGATTATATAGAAGTAGTTCAGGAATAAGCCTGAGGACAAACAGAAAGACACCATGCACACATCAATCTATCCTGCCTTTTACATATAGATTGTTTAGGGTTTTTTTTACCCATACAATAAAAAAAATCCTTCCCCCAGGTACTTCCAGAGATGCAATGCCTGCAATAATAATAACCTATATGTAATACAAATTATTTTGTAAAGGTCCTTCTACATTTAGAGTATTCTTCCTTCGTGCTGTTGCCAGTTTCTTGCTACTAAGAGGTTAGGTCCCTTGAATGGAAAACCCCTTAAAACTAAAAAAAGGCTGTCTACTGAGCACTAGGCTTTGAAGCTGAACATGCCCTGCCATGGCAGAGTCGTAACCATGACAGCAATAGACTTATTTCCCTCCATTCTGGGCCATTTTCCCAATCATTTTTTCTTCCCAAGTCAACATGAACTTGTAGCCAGAGTTGGGAAAGTTTCTTTTCAGGAGGGTCTGCCCTCACCTCAGCACTACACCCAGAGGCAAATTCAAAAAATACAAGGAGCAGCAAGTGCATATACTGCTGCTGGTTTATGCTGAAACAGATGCAAAATCCATGAAAAGCAGGCAAAATTCTAATTATGCAGGGGGGCTTTTTGTAGTTTTGTTTGTTTGTTTGTTTTTGAAAAGAGTTAGGCTAATGAAATGAAACAAGTATTTTTCTGGCACACAGATCCTCTCCTGTGCTGACAGCTAAGCATTCTCAGCTGAGCCTGAAGCCTTCCCTGCAGCACTTGTAGAGGAAGTGCATTTCTTGACTTTCAGCCAAGGAACCAGAGCTCCCCGACATAATCAGCGGTGAAGAAAACCCAGAGAGAGCATGAAACACCAAAGAAAAGAGGCACTCCTACATGTACTAGGAAGGGCAAATTTAATCCACATTTGCATGAAATTCTTTGGCTTAAAATTAGAAGCCTCAAGAAGAACCTGATCTTAAAGCACATTGTGGTAACTTTTTTTTTTTTAATTCAGTCACCACCAGATGGAGTAAAACCTCAGCAAACAGGACCTTGATCTCTGGGGAGGAGAGACCCTTCTAACTGAACCACTGATTTAACAATCGGGAACCTGTTTTCCACTTCCAGCTGTGCTACAGATTGGAACAGCCTCTGCCTAAAAATGAGGATTGTAGTCCAAGCCAATCATTTAGCCAATTTCTACGTCTCTGAAAGTCGGTGGAGAAAGACAAGGACTTCCAAGTACCTCTGCTCCCCAGCTTATTTTTTTAAGAAGGGATGAAAGATGAATTTCTTCAGGGACATACTCTGTGCAATAGCTGAAGCGAACGGCGGCTTTCAAACTTTACTGTACTCTTCGTGCAGAGTTCATACAGAGCAGAGAGCTGCAACGCTTGCCGCCTCCTGGAACAGTTTCCTGGCTGTCCTACAACATTCAATCAGGAGAACTGGAGCCAGGCAGAGCCGGACTTTGCCTCTCCCTCATCTGCCTTTTGCTGAGATGGGAAACAGAAGGAACCGATTACAGAATTTGTCAAAGAACAGAACTACAGGTGGCTTGCAGACAATGGGGAAGAACACAGACAGGTTAATGTCTTTCAGGATATTTTTGGTAGGTTTCTCCGATACTGGGGTCAAACCACACTTCTTTTGCTGAAGAACTTAGGCACTGGAGCTCTCAAGATATGTTACACAAAAGTATATATTAAAAAGGTAAATGGTTTTGGAGAATATTAAACTCTTCTTTAAATCCTTTTCCAATGATTGTAACTCTACTAGCTCTGTATCTTCCAGAAGATGCACAACAGAAATAACTCAATTTTTTTTTCCCCTTCTTTAGTCTAGAACTAGGCAACTCTAGGAAGAAAACACCCCAATCAAATAAATACACAACTTTTAGGTTCACTTGAGCTTTATGGGTCTGAATGTGGAAAAGGAGTTTGTTCCCCTGTGGTCTATATTCAACATATTATTTACTCCAAGACTGACTTGATTTTATATCCTAAAAGCAGATGGAGTTGAGCGCATAAAGGAGAATTTCTTCTTTTCCATGGCTTGCTCCAGCTCTACTTTTGCAAGTTCACATTCTCTAGTCCTTCCCTTCATTAACACATTCAAATAATTTCAGCTCCACCTAGGTTTCTCAGGGCAAACCTCCTGGAACATTTGTCTTCAGCATATTCATAAGTTAATACAGAAGTTAAAGCTGACCCTAATTGTGTTAAGCCTTTCTCTCGTCAAGCACCACCCTTCCTTTCCTTCCTCTCAGAAACAGAGCAGCTCATTCGTCAGAACATACCACTTACACACCAAAAAACCCCAACCAATCATGGCTGAAGAATCCCTACTGCTTTTGTATCCCATTTCACTCTCAACCCTGGACGTGGGAAAACACAGAAGACCTAGTCCAATGGCATGCTACTGTAAAGCACTTGCAAAGCCTGAATGGTACCAGCCTCCAACCCGAGTGTTCTCGATACAGTTTAGCTCATCTGATCAAAGCAGTTTCCTTGAAGGCTGTAGGAAGCCTGAGCACTCCCACTGCCTGCCTGGACTTCTCTCCCAACCACATCCCCACCCCCACCATTTTTCAGACTGCCAGCCCCACATACTTTCCACAGAATGAACGACGAGGGATACAGGCCATTGCTGGTTCATACCGTGCCAGCAGTTCTGTAGATGCAGAACTAGAGGTTAAAAACTGCCTCCAAGCTCCATTCTCATCTTCCTCTCCCTCTTCAGCTAATTTGCTTTCAACTCTGCAGGTACTTCAGCCTCCTCCCTCCAGCACTCAGGCTCCTAGCACCTGGTTCTGATGACTCTGTGGTTTTACACTTGGCTTCCTGATGATGTCCCCACAACCAGTCAGCCAAGGGCACCCCACCAGAGAATGAGCATACTGGCCACTTGGCTTGACCAAGAAAGAGAAAGTTCAGAATCCAGCTGAATTCAACACTAGTTTTGGGCAGACCTGTGCTACAATGGTATAGAATCATAGAATCATAGAATCGTTAAGGTTGGAAAAGACCCTTAAGATCATCGAGTCCAACCGTTAACCTATCACTGCCAA